AGCATGTTTGTAAATGCCTAGCCCCTGTAAGACATAAATAAGCAGGACCTTGATCACTGATAACTAGGAGTGCTAGCCAGTGAAAAACAGAAATTTGAAATCCAGAAAATCAGAACACTAAGAGTTTGATATCATGGAGCAATATCCATTGCAATTTCTCCAAAGAGATCAGATAACAGGAGAGGGGTAGTGCCAGCTCCTGGGTATACATGGCCCCTCAGACACATTGATTGATGATGCCATCTCCCGCTGATGCGAAGATTTACCTTTTTAGAATGATTCAGCATTGGCCATAACCCTAAGCCCAGTACTGTGCCTTAGCCTAAAGCCAGACCTAAAGAAGGGAAACTGGTTAGCTATTATTGAAAGAGGATGCTAGATTAGACCAACTTTGATATGAGCTACAGACACACTTCTATATGAAAGGTCTCCTCTGAAGATTCTGATATCCCTGAGCAGAGAGGATATATCTAAATAGTTCCATATCATGTCAGAAGTGAAGCAGACACTGTCGCTTTTCAAAGCTGCCTTTCACGTTTTTAAATACTGATGAAAGCCCATATCAACTCATTAGCAATAAAAATAAAAACAAGAGGAGGAATGGAGAAAGATGCACACGCACGCACACAAATAAAGGACTTTTTTTTTCTTTCTAGTGTTCTTCCTGCATCTGTAGGGTCTGCTTTTTTTCACATCAACCTAATGTTGATCTGTTGGTTGCAACAAGTATTGACCAACTGTTGCCTGGGCCTGAATGTTGGGGGCTGAAAGAGAGTGACTGACCCAAAGACACCCAGCTGGCTTTCATGTCTAAGGTGGGACTAGAACTCACCATCTCCTGGTTTCTAGCCTGGAGCCTTCACCACTAGACCAAACTGTTCTCTTTTAAATAAAAAACAACAATTTTTAAAAAGTATGTTTGACAGTTCTACCCCAAAAGACATATTCTATTTGCAAGAATAAAGGTAATCAGGAAATAATATAAGTAAAAATGGAGACCAAATTTGGACAACACAATCTTTCATTAAAGCATTTTGATTCTTTGCTTTTAGGATTTCTTTTAAGCTAATGCAATTTCTCATGCTTTTAGTTAACATCCATCCAAGAAAAAAAAGTACGTCAGTTTCCCAACATTTTGCAATAATATATCTAGCAGCTAGCAACACAGATTGGATTAATACCTAATGTTGTAGTGGTTGATACGTCTTGGAAAGACAGACAACAAATCAATAATAGAATTAATTGCCAAAGATTGTTGAGCAATTATGTGCTCTGAGAGCTTAAAGAAAGGTGGACAGTATAAATCAGTGTTTTTCAAACTTGGCAACTTGAAGATGTGTGGACTTCAACTCCCAGAATTC